GAGTTCAAACCCACCGGCCCAGTGAATTAACCGCCGACCAGCCAAATTAGTAAAACACCAACCTCGATTTGATTTTTGAGGTGCCTCAAAAATAAACTCAATGCATGTGAGTGAAACACCAACCTCGATTTGATTTTTGAGGTGCCTCAAAAATAAACTCAATGCATGTGAGTGAAACACCAACCTCGATTTGATTTTTGAGGTGCCTCAAAAATAAACTCAATGCATGTGAGTGAAACACCAACCTCGATTTGATTTTTGAGGTGCCTCAAAAATAAACTCTATGCACGTGAGTGAAACACCAACCTCGATTTGAAAGTGGATTGAGAGGGAGTACTCGGGTCTGCCCGTGAAATTCAGCCTCTCAGTTTGGTTGGCCGAGGGTTTCCAGTAGCCAATCAGCATGGGCGACGTGTCAATGAAAAACAGCTCCACTGGTGCATCGCATGGCTCTGGCGATTGGCGGGAAGAAGCGGGGGAAATGGGCTGGGCTAGAGTTTGCTTTTAAACCAAGAGAACAGAGGTGAGGAGGTTGACAGGAAGGGGCAATTTCTAAGGTGACTCAAAAAGAGAAGTAAGGCGAGGAGGATAGTAAGGCAATCTCAGAAGTAAGGTGACTCTGAGGGAGATTGTAAGGGTGGTTTGCAAATAAAATGAAGATGGCAAACAAGTCTTCACTAGCAGATTAATGGGCTGAAATAGGCGGCCATTGCCAATGGAAGGGCAACAATTGAAGGGGGGGTCAACATATGGAAAAAAAAAAATTAGAGACAGGGCTAAGCAGCTCCACAGAAATACTTGGGGCATGCGTCCCAGGGCTAAGCAGCTCCACATGTTGTACGAGCGCTCACAGCGCCAGCAGGGGTCACTGTGGTCCCAGTTTGCTGAGCATACAAGCATAGAACCTCACAACCCTAGATACTCACCTTACAGACACTCACGATACAGATACTTGGGGTACGCATCCCTCCTCACGTCGTACAAGCGCTCACAGCGCCAGCGAGGGTCACTGAACCCCCAGTTGCGGAGCATACAGCCACAGGATCTCACAACCCTAGACACTCACCGTATAAATACTTGGAGCACGCGTCCCTCCTCACGTTGTACGAGCGCTCGCACTGCCATCGAGCGTCGCGCAGGCGGAGGGCTGGACTGTACACAAGGATAGAGGATAGCATCTCACCATATAGGTACTTGGGGCACGCGTCCCTGCGCACGTTGTACGAGCGCTCACAGCGCCAGCGAGGGTCTCGCAGGCGGAGGGCTGGATCAAGCTGCGCCTCGGGATTGCCGTGATAGTCGTGATTGCCCAGGACTGGCATGGATGGGGAGAAGTGAAACCAGAGGGGAAAGAGTAGGCAGCACAGCAGCGTGAGGTCAATCAAGGGGATGTTATGACCTAAAGGGCTGGATCAGGCTGTGCCTCGGGATTGCCGTGATAGTCGTGGTTGCCCAGGACTGGCATGGATGGGCGGGACGAATGAGACCGTCAGGAGGACATAAGCAGGTAGCATACCTGCTTATACTAGCACGGGGTCAGTTCTGGGTGTTAAGACTTGAACAGTGAGATGTAGCTGCTCCTTGGGATTGCCGTGGTTACAGACACACAGCGGCTAAATACACATCCATTTTATAATCACCTACCGGCATACCACTGTGTGCGGAGTCTTGGGGCCTGGTAGATCTCCGAGAAGGAGGAGGTGAACTGCGGATTGACTTTCGCAATTATGATCTGATTTAATCACATCCCCGTTAAAGTCACAGCCACATACCAGCATACCACTGTGTGCGGAGGCTGGGGGCCTGGTAGATCTCCGAGAAGGAGGTGAACTGTGGGTCGCTGCTGTCTGTGAGTCCGTCTTCATAAAAGTTGTCCCCCGTTGAAATGACAAAGCTGGAACTGATCTCCCCTGCCACTCGCCCCATCTGACACGAAAACGGAGAGGAAGGAAGGGGAGCAGGAGTTGAAGGGTGGAGAGGCGTGAGGAAGCTGAGATGGTCGCCACTGTCTGTCAGCCCGTCCTCGTAGAAGTTGCACCCCGTTGAAATCACAAAGCTGGAGCTGATTCCCCCTGCCATTTGCCCCATCTGAGAGACAACGAGGGAAGGCAACGAGGGAGGAGGAGGACGGGGGAGAAGTGGGGAGCGGGGGGGGGGAAAGGGGGGGGAAGGGAGGGGAAGGGAGGGGGTGTGGAAGGGAGGCATGGGGGAATGGTCACAAGTCCGTCTGCCTATCTCTGCTGCTGTCGGCCAATGCATCTATCACCCAGCATGGTAACCAGTGCATCTATCACCCAGCATGGTAACCAGTGCATCTATCACCCAGCATGGTAACCAGTGCATCTATCACCCAGCATGGTAACCAGTGCATCTATCACCCAGCATGGTAACCAGTGCATCTATCACCCAGCATGGTAACCAGTGCATCTATCACCCAGAATGGTAACCAGTGCATCTATCACCCAGCATAATAACCAGTGCATCTATCACCCAGCATGGTAACCAGTGCATCTATCACCCAGAATGACTCACCGCCTCAGCAACGAGCGATTGATTGTAGTCCCCATTGCGACCCCAGTCCCCCACCACTAGGAACGTAAGCGCTCCCTGCGTTTTGACAAGCGTGTCCGTGCTCGCATACGAGGTGATTAAAGACACCGCGCGCCACGGGAATAGTAGCGAGATGCCGGTAGTGATTGCAGCGCCGGCGAGAAGGCCGAGAGAGAGGAGGAGGAGCGAGGGGAGGCAGCGCAGGCAGACGGAGCGATGCTTCACAACCTGGGATATCATGAGACATTCGCGTGAATGGTAGATAAAAGAGTTAATCGAAGTACAAAGGCCATTGGCATGGAAAGTAGAAGTTAAGGATACTCCTAACGCGTGTCCGTTTCCATGCGGATCCATCAAGAAGGGAGACTTTAAGCAGCTGAATAACTGAGAAAGGAGTGAAGAACGTAGCTGAAGGAGCAGCTGATTTGCACACTTTCGTGTTGCTGGCCCTACCTGTCCTGTTGTGAGAGATATTTCCTCTTCCATCCCCTTTTCCTGCTCCTCCTCTTCCCTCGTCCACTCTTCATCCTCCTCCTCCTCCCCATGAAACTGCCGTCTGTGCTTCCTCGCCGTTCGCGCCATCCAGGCATCATCCTCTTCGTCCCATGATGACCCGTTAGGTTGCAACGCTTCTCTTTCTCCTACTCTCTCTCCTCTTTTTGCACCTCCTCCCCCGCCTCCCCCGCTTCCCCGGTATGACGCGTCCATCATTTAAACGTAAGCCGGGATACTACAGTGTGGGGACCGATCAGACCGGATATACTAGGAGAGATTCGCTGTTATGTTGATCTCGAGCCGCAGTCCTAAGGACCTGTGACATGCGGTTCGCAGTTGCACTCCTGTAGAAATGAGATTAAGAAATTAGCCAAATCGAACTATCGTGCTATTGCGTCAACGTGCGAGTTCAAATCACGTGCGCTTGTCTGGTGTATGCAACAAAGCTTCAGCTACAATAAAGATGGACGTGCTCCACAATCAGGACAATCGCATCAGCTCAACTCGACTTGCCGAATCATGTCACGAGCTAGCGAGAGCTATAGTTTCGGACACCATAAAAAGCAAATCACGGAGAACCTTCAAGTAAAATGTAACCAGGAACCAGCCACGAACAAACGGAGGACTGAAGGAAAAGGCGTATCTAACGGATTCTAGTGGTAAGAAAGGAGATTCAGAAAGAGATTCAGGAAGTGACGGAATAAAGAATCTAGCAAGCCCTCGAGAACACTGAAGTCGGTTTCCATCAGTGCCAGCTTCACCTGTGACGAACCAGGCGTCAGAATCGCCGAGGCTGAAAAGCGCGGGAAAGTAGGCTCGGCTTCGCAAGTGATGCTAGCTGTAGATATAGTTAGTGAATTGCCTTTATGCTTGCATTCCAATTAGCTTCACCATCTGGCTTTCTTACCGCGTACATGAACGGACGCTGGGCTGTCTCCGTTAAAGGAGGTTCAAAACAACGTTGAGGTATAAGCTGCACCGTCTAATAGTTTTATTATGATGTTACCTTAGCCAGCCGAACCAGGCCGCACGCAGAGCCAGGCGCGCGCCGCCCGCTCGCTGCATCCGCAGGCAGGCAATGGGGGAAGCTGGTCCCACACGCTCGTCACAGGAAGCCACATTGCGAGTCGCATCGCCGCGTCACACGGGGCGACTCGCACATTTCCCCAAACAAACAAATCTTTAGCCCAGGAACCCTTTTTCACCGATTCTAAACACGCAAAACCTTTTACAAGCCCTCAGTAACCATCAGCTCCCACATCACCCTCGAGTTGTAGTCCTCCCACTAGGCCGAGAGAGTTGGTTGATGAGATCTTTGTGCAATGCTGCCCCAGTGCATCCTCATTTTTCACTCCGCTCCGCCATTATTTGCACGCATGCGTTCTTCCACCCAACCCAGTGCGATGCAGATCCCCCCGACCTGCATAGTATAGCGGTCGCCGCGGTCGATTATTTGCTTACTTAGGAAGGACTGGGTCCGACGCGCCACGTAGGCTCCTCCTGTTGCGCGCTGTTTGTGGATAACTGAGGCTGAGTGTCGAGCACTATAGATCTTAGACACGCATAGCAATACTACGCATTCCACTACAACTCTCAGACCCTCAGGGACTGCTTTAGGAACTTGTGGTCTTACTACCAATCTGGCGCCTTCCGTTCCAGCACTCGGCAGCTCCAGCTCCGTTTAGCATTACGCCTGCTACCAATTCTTCTGTTGGAAGCCTCGTTGGTCCCACTCATACTGAAGCATCGAGTTCTACAACTTCAGTAATCTCCTTTTCTCGTTATTGCTCGTACCGCTCGCTTGGAAGGAGCGACACGTGCCTCCATCAGTTTACTCGAGCGCCGCTAGATTTTAATTTTCCCGCTGGTGTCTCAAATTCGACTCTTTGACTTTTTGTACGACGCGCAGTTCACTATCAAGACATTTATAGTACCTTCAATTCCCCGCGGATATCATGTACCACTCGAACTTCGAGTGGACGATCTTCGACGAAGATGGTCACCTAAATTCGTCGGTCCTCGTGCAAGCAGCTTCGGGAGATAAGCCCACGGTCGAGAAAGGCTCTCCCAAGGCTGCTAGCGCACAGACAGCTGCGACCGAGCCAGCGCGGCTATCGAGGGACATGACGGCGGCCGATGGCTGTAACACGAGCGACACCTTGGCGACAAACACCCTGTCTCAGGCCGGCGACCTTTGCTGCGGTTGGAGCTGCGGCGGAAACGGCCAGCGGAAATGGCGGGCGAAGGAGAACTGGGTGGCGAACCTCCTCCCTCTCGAGCTCAGTAACGTGATTGGTGGCGAAGGTGAAACTACGAAGAAGCAGGCGATTCTAGACGGAGTGACAAAACCGGGAGTTGTCGATTTGGACGTTATAACGAGCAACCTCGGGGTTTACGAGCTCGCCGTGTCAAAGTCTCTTTGGGGCGACGTGTTTCGATATATAAGCTCGACCGATGGGGCTTCCAATGATAAGGCAACCAAGAAGGTGAATGCTGACGCATTCTCGCTGCTGGATCGCGCATGGAATATCGCAACGACAGCGGTTGCTAGCGCGCGAGGAGACGAAACCAAGGCAGCCACCGGAGCCGAGACGGGGAAGACTAAAACGCGTACGATCTTCTCCCTGCTACAGCCGCAGAATTACCTGCCGCCGCAACTTCCGGAGCATGCGGGAAGAAAAACGCTTATCCTAGACCTCGACGAGACACTGATTCATTCTTATTTTTGCAAGGTAGATGAGGCGGACGCGCAGTTCTACATAGATATTTTCGGGCAGATGACGGACGTGTCCGTGCTGAAGCGGCCCGGAACGGACGCGTTTCTGGAAGCCATGGCTGCGAAATACGAGGTGGTGATTTTCACCGCGAGTATTCCAAACTACGCGAACGCGATTGTTGATTGGTTGGATCCCGAAGGGAGACTGATCCACCATCGGTTGTACCGCGACTCGTGCACGTGGTGGCGGGGAGGGTACGTGAAAGACCTTGCTAAAGTGGGACGCGATTTACGGAATACAATTCTCGTGGATAACAGCCCGCATTCTTTCGCATTTCAGACGAGAAACGGCGTTTGCGTGACGTCGTACATTGACGAGGTTGAGGACGAGGAATTGACGGCGCTGACGGAGCCGCTGCTGAAGCTGACGGAGGAGGACGGAGACGTGCGCGACTGGCTGTGGACGTGTTACGCAGCGCCAGCGGAAGAACCGTGAAGCACGGAAATACTGGGCTGATTCTTTAAGCCAATTTGAGGCGCCTCGTAAATAAGCGTATGGAGCGCCTGCCTCTGGCGCGACGCGCGGCGCCGTGATCACAAGCGGAAGGGCCATGTGAAATAAGTGGGTGGGTGGGCGTAGTGGATTGCTTGCCTGGTTGAACCTCAACGTGGCGATCCCTGGGGGGCCTGAAGCGGGGCTTCCGTTGATTCCTTTGTTGTCCCCCATGTCCCACTCGTTGGCTTCGCACATCCCAAGACTCCGTCCGCCCACATCAGTTCGCTAACATTTCGCTTCACTTCTCGGTAGTCAGTTTTTTCTCTTTTGAAATGCTTTTTATGGCAACGTGCTTGTTGTAAACTGCATATAATGTATGTGCTTCCAAGCCATTCCCACCTGGAGTATTACCATTAAACAGGAAAATAATACTGGACGACCCAGAGTGAGACTAAGACTGGATTTGTGAACTTGTCAAGTGTAAGGACCACCGCTGCCCCACCAACCAGAGAGTATTGCACAAGGAACATCTAGCCAGCCGAGAGTGTTATATCAAGAAGAGTGAGTGGGTTGGTGGTAGTGTAAGGCACCCACCCAGGGGAAAAACAAGGTGACACGTAGGCCACATGTCACAAATGATACTAAATAATAACAAATCAAAAGCATGTCTTTCTCTACAGTCTAAGGTCCAAGTCCAGCCCATCATGGCTGGGAAAAAAGGGCGCAGGTGCAGCCTGTCGATCTAACACAGCAGCAGCACAAGCTTCTGCAAACATGCGCTCTCGGGAGCCATCCTTCTCGAGAGGCTTATGGTGCACTACCAGGTGTGGCTTGCTGTTGTCAAGAATACTGTGATGTTCCACTTGGTGTGGCCTGTTGCTGCTCCCCTCCCATCCTCCCTGTTGCGTGCATGGAGGAGACAAGTTACCTCCTTCATCACTTGCATCCCCTTTACGAGCCAGCTCTGTAAGCTTACCAATCCCTACATCTCGGTTTTTTTTTCGAGTCTTGCTCGCCTGCTCCACTCCGTCCCCAGGCTTTGTCTCCAAAAGCAACTTTTTCAGAGAAGAGTCGGCCTTCTCTCCCTGCAAATGTTTCCGCATGTGCCCGCCAAGCGCCTGACCTGACGAAAAACTTTTGTTGCAGACCCCGCAAACGCGTGCTTTTTGCACCTTGCAGACACGTCTTTGGACTGATTGAGGCGACCCAAAAATTGTTGGAGAGATCTTGCCTAGGAAGGGCTGAGCCTCATCTCCTTTACTAAGTGACCCGTTACTAGACACGGCGGAGTCAGCAACAACTCCAATGCTTCCAGGAGAGCCCGCATGGCTGGGAGCAGCATTCCACGAAGCTGCAAACGCGGGTGTGCTTGGTGCAACATTGTATGTAGCGGCAATGGCAGGCGTACTTGGACCCGCAACAGCAGGAGTAGCACCAGCAGTAGCATTCCATGCAAACTGCTTGGCGCCGCCACTGCCGCCCGACGCTGCTGAGTCAGCAGCGCACCGCTGAGTGTCACAGTGGCGCTTGGCCTCGACCTCATCCGAAAGGAGATTGTTCAGATCCAGAGTCCTTTTATTGTGCTGCCGTGATAGCCATTGCTCCTGATGCTCTTGCTGTTGTTCCACCGCATTGCCGTGGCTGTTTAGAAACAGGCGTCCAGCTGCTACAGCGACAACGCGACTCGAGTTGAGTGACAGCAGCGAGGCCGTGGGTGGCGGAGTAACGTCAGCCTGGGATGCACCCGAGAAGAGAGATGGGAACTGGGGTGCAGCCGCGCCGGTAGTAACGGGGGGACGCTGTGCGCAAGTTGACTGAGGCGCAGCAACGGCGCACGTTGACTGGGGCGGCGCAGCAACGGGAAGAAACCGGGCGCAAGTTCCCGCGGCTTGCGTGGCGCGTGATAGTAACGGATTGCCAGACCGTGGCGCGTCCAGGGGCGGCGGTACCAGCTGCTGCTGCGTGCGCGGCGCACACCATGCGGACGCCGTAGACGCCCCCGCCTCCCCCGCCGCCCCTACTTGCGCGGATGGCGCCGTGAGCCGCGGCTGCGCCAGCACATTTTGGAGGCTCGGAAAAAGTACTACAGGGTTCCGCGAACCTAAACCAAGATTTTGTCGCGGGTCGGATTCAAGATCATTCATCGACGCGTCGAATCGTGGATTCGCAGCGTCCCCAACGCGGCGTTCCGCTTCTGGCGGCGCGTATCCACCGGCGGCGGCGGCGGTGATGAGTTGAAACCCGCCTCGTGTCATCTTAGTCATCATGACTGGGTTGCTTCTCTGAGTCAGCAACGACGACACGGGATACCCGCACGGGCCGTAGCTTGACTGACGCGGCGTCTTGGAGGGATTTTCGGCGGAAGCGGCGCTGATATCTCCAAGCTTTCCCTCATCCGAGAGTCCTGCCGCGGCGCGGTCGGCGCAGCAGGAGGTTTCGCATGGATCGTTTTCGACAATGGGCATCTCCCAGTGAAGCGAATCCGAGCCGTCGTTCCGCCCTTGTTTTCCGAAAAGAAACTCCGCGAGACTCCCGCCGAATGCGGAGGATCGTCCGTAGTCTATGCCGCTACTAGAAGCTGACGACGGCGATATCGCGCTTTTTTTTAACCCGAAATGCGAGCGAATATCCATCGCGTTTAGCGAAGGCGGAGGTTACAAATCGGCGAGCGATGCAGCGGCAAACACGCGCTCGAAATGTGCAAGTTGAGATGCAGCCTGAAGTGATGATCATAGTGCTATATGACAGCTATTGGTGGCAGGGGTTTCCCTTCGTTCACAAGGAAATGTGAAGAATGTGCAGGAATGATCGGAGGACGGATTTCCCTGACAATTCTGTCCAGATCCGTCAATAGAAGGACAGTTTGGGAGTGGGAGATGGGGAAAGGGGATTGGGTAGGGGGGGGAGGGTGGGGGAAGGGGTGAATTTGCTACACTGGAGCTACGAGGAAGGAAATGGGAATCGCGGTTTGGGGGGCAGTTTCCGCCTTTGCTGACGCCCTGACGCCACGCGCGGAGCGATGAAGGGAGAAGCAGCAGATATCGCTCTGGATTGGTCGTCTTCCCATTTCGCGCAAAACATTGCTTCGGGATTGGTTTGTTTCTTTCACGGGAAAGAATCCGGGGTCTTGGGGGGGAAGAAGGCAAAAGGGGGAGTAGGGGGAGTTGGAAAGTGAGGGGGATGAGTGCGACCCGGCACGGTGAGTGTCTGTGTGTGTGTGGCTCAGCAAGGATTCGATGGATTGCATTGCATTGCATTGCATTGCATGGCCCACAGTACAGTAAAATCAATCAAGCGCGTGGATAGCGAAGAGGAGAGTGGCCCATTCTAATTTCTAACACTGTAACGAGATGTACTGTACAAAACACACTGTAGCATCGCCAAGCACGAATTGGGGGACTTTTGTCCGCAATACTGTAGTGTTAATCTGTACAGTGTACAGTACACTGCGTTGGGATCACGGCGACAGGTGTTACGGATTTCGTGGAGATCGTATGGATGTGGGGTGGAGTATCTCGGACCGAGCCACTCCGTCGAAAATGTGTGGCATGGCGTGAGGAGGCGAAGTGATGTGGAGGGAAGCTCAAGCTTGTGCCAATTACTGCAGCAATAACTTGGCCGACACACTTGAATTCGCTATCACGGATGGGGAATTGATCAGACTGGGGCCCCGGGTTAGCAGAAACAGTGCCAACTTGGGGCCTCGTGAGTCGCGACCCTACGAAATAGGCCCGAAGCAAATCACAAGACTGGGCAGCAGGTCCGAACCTGGCAAACTCGCCAGGTCACCACCTACTGCCTTGGGTTTGACGGAAATCGCTAGCACCCCACACCGCTGGAAGCACAACAATCCGTCAAACCAACACAGTCTGATCGAGATACAGCACAAGCAGCATGTAACAAACAACTCGGAATTATTACGGAAACATAAGACTGCCAGAACACAAAGAGCTGAAACATGAAAATTAATAAAATGAGTGGGCACAAAATGGGGAGGTTCATGACCTTTTTCTGTTAGAGAAATTTCAACCAACCTACCCACATTCTTTCAGAATATGTATACATACATATATGATTTACATGCAAGTGCTTCCCTTGTAAAATCTTCGATGAAAAATCTTCTACCGTATTCCCCCGGATATACCACCCTAGGGTGCTATGATAACTACACAAAAAAAAGGGGGGGTCTTGTCATCGGAAAAAGCTTCATTGCACCCGGGTCTTTACATAATGTGTATTTTTTTTATAGCGTAAAACGATTTAGTACAGATGTAAAACAAAAATACAGATGTACATTTAGTACTAATCGTTTTACGCTATAAAAAAAATACACATTATGTAAAGACCCGGGTGCAATGAAGCTTTTTCCGATGACAAGACCCCCCCCTTTTTTTTGTGTAGTTATCATAGCACCCTAGGGTGGTATATCCGGGGGAATACGGTAGAAGATTTTTCATCGAAGATTTTACAAGGGAAGCACTTGCATGTAAATCATATATGTATGTATACATATTCTGAAAGAATGTGGGTAGGTTGGTTGAAATTTCTCTAACAGAAAAAGGTCATGAACCTCCCCATTTTGTGCCCACTCATTTTATTAATTTTCATGTTTCAGCTCTTTGTGTTCTGGCAGTCTTATGTTTCCGTAATAATTCCGAGTTGTTTGTTACATGCTGCTTGTGCTGTATCTCGATCAGACTGTGTTGGTTTGACGGATTGTTGTGCTTCCAGCGGTGTGGGGTGCTAGCGATTTCCGTCAAACCCAAGGCAGTAGGTGGTGACCTGGCGAGTTTGCCAGGTTCGGACCTGCTGCCCAGTCTTGTGATTTGCTTCGGGCCTATTTCGTAGGGTCGCGACTCACGAGGCCCCAAGTTGGCACTGTTTCTGCTAACCCGGGGCCCCAGTCTGATCAATTCCCATCACGGATGAGTCGCTGAGCTGTCTCACGTTCGCCGACGACTGACGGCTTGCTGAACTGGCACTTCCACGTCAAACCTGGAAGCCTCCCCGAACCACCTCATTGCATGGCATATGTGCTTCCCTGGTGCTGCCCTATGTCCTCGATTTCAAACTTATCCAGTGCTGAGTGATGTGCTTGCTGCGATGCTCCAGCAATCCATTCTCAATTGGCTTATGCAACTGTGTCTAGAGAGTGCGATGAATGATCCAAGAAATACACGTGATTGCGACTCGTACACAGCTTGATTAGACGTGGCACGTTAATTACATGAGTGTACACTACAGTTTAGACCCACAATTCTGACAACTGCTTGCCATTGTCCTACACCCGCGACAGCAACAAGACGAGCAGTGTAGCCATTCATTGAAAAGCGTCCATGTACAATGCCCTCCTCCAGTGCGATGTTGGACAGCTGGGCAGAATGTGCGGCATTTGGTTCGCTTTTGAACTTATGAGGAAACAGATGTTCTGTTATGAGTTGTACTACATAGAGTGCTCGAAAATAATATATAAAGAGACTGAGAATACGATGAATGAGCGAGCAATTATAGGCGAGGACCTCGGGACGTGCGAGGGTTGGAAGTGCTGAGATTGGTGCGGGACGACTCGGGTGGTTAAGGCAGAAATGTAGGCCGAACCCAAACTGACGCAAAGTGTTCGTGATGTCCTCTCTAGAAGTAGACTGAGTAATAAATTTCCATATTCATTACATGTTCCATGATGTGTGAAATCCAAGTACAGTTCAGTGCATTCCTCTCTGCCTTCTACACACCCTAAAAGAGAATGCTTTGCACAAAGAATTATGAAGTTGGGCATTCGTTCATTCATTCTCCTCTAAAGCACATCACAAATACCTCATCCACACATACCTTCGAATTATTGCATTTCGTCAGACGATGAACGCAGACAAATTCGGGGATTGCAAATCCGGTCATCATTATCACCCCTTTCGGCATATCTATGCTTGCAATGAATACAGTGCGATAGATTAATGTACGTGTGTGTGTGCGTACGTGTGTGTATATGCATGCGCGCGCGTGCGTTTGTGTGTGTTTGTGTGTGTGTGCGTGCGTGCGTGTGTTTGCGTCTGTGCGTTCGTGTGTATATGTGTGTGCGTGTGTATATGTGTGTGTGTGTGTGTGTGTGTGTGTGTGTGCGTGTGTGTGTGTGTGCGTGTGTGGGTGCATGTGTATGTGTGCGTGCATACATGTGTATGTGTGTATGTGTGTGCGTGCGTATGTGTGCGTATGCGTGTATGTGTCTGTACATATGCGTGTATGTGAATGTATGTATGTGTGTGTACGCGCGCGTGCGCACACATGTGTGTGTCTGTGCAAATATGTATGAGCGTACATGCGTATGTATATGCGTACATGTGTGCATATGTGTGCGCGTGTGTGTGTGTATGCGAGCGTACAAGCGTGCGTCGCGTGCGTGCGCGCGCGAGCGCGCGCGTGTGTGTTGTCAGAATAACTAGGCAAGAATGAATGCATTGAATGGAACAGTTGGGTACAAGTAGCAAACCCTAGTTGGGGTTGTACCCCATATTGGCTACCCCACTACAGCCTACCAACATATAACACATTACAATTTAACACACCCCCATAGGCAAAGTGGGGGAGAACAAAGGGTCACAAGACCAGTCCAGCAAAGCAAAGCAAAGCCCAGGGTGGATCACAACGTCACCACACTCCGAGCACAAGTAAAGGCCACAAGGCCAGTTCACATGCAGTGCTAGATATAGTACAAGACAAGCAACACAGTGATCAAAACCTAGCAAGCAAGCAACAAGATATATATAAAGTACAGTACAAAGAATGTCAAGCAGTGAGCAAGTGAGGAAACGTGGACACAAGGCCTAAAGAAGTACAGTGCCGCTGATGATCACTAGGCGGGAGCGCCTTGGTGAAGATATCAGCAGTGTTGGCCTTCGAGTCCACGTACACAAGCCGAAGCTGACCGCGCTGCTGAAGCTCTCGAGCAAAAAAGTAGCGAAGAGCAATGTGCTTCGTCCTGTGCTCCAGTCTGTGCTCCTGACACAAGGCAAGAGCCGCCTTGTTGTCACCGTACAGAACTGGAGGAGAACTAGGCCGCTCTCCCAAGTCAGTCAGCAGGTAGGTGAGCCAGCGTAACTCCTGTGCAGCCATGGCTGTGGCGTAGATCTCAGCCTCACAACTAGAGCCGAGAACAGAGGAAGAGCGGGTGGACCGCCACGAGACAGAACCAGAGCCAAGGCTGAAGGTGTAACCCTGTGACGACCGCTGCGTAGCCAGGTCGTCCACCCAAGAAGCGTCCGAGTGACCAGTGAGGACAACTCTGTCGCGTCCTCCAAGCACCAGCCCCATGCCTGATGTACTGCACAAGTAACGCAGCACCCTCTTAGCAGCCTCCCAGTGCTCTCGCCTGTGTCTCCCAGACGCAACGTAACGAGCAAGGATGCTAAGAGGGTACGCGAGGTCAGGTCGCGTGCAAGTCATCAGGTACATGAGGCAGCCTACAAGCTCT